ATGGATGGATGGATGGAGGGAGGGATAGATGGATGGATGATGGATGGTTGGATAGATGTATGGATAAATGGATGGATGGATGATGGATGGATGGATGATGGATGGATGATGGATGGATGGATGGAGGGTTAGATGTATGTATGTATGGATGTATGTATGTATGGATGGATGATGGATGGATGGATGATGGATGGATGATGGATGGATGGATGGAGGGATAGATGTATGTATGTATGGATGTATGTATGTATGGATGGATGATGGATGGATGGATGATGGATGGATGGATGTATGTATGGATGGATGATGGATGGATGAAGGATGGATGGATGGAGGGATAGATGTATGTATGTATGAATGGATGTATGTATGGATGGATGATGGATGGATGGATGATGGATGGATGGATGATGGATGGATGGGTTGCAGAGAAGAAATCTGAAGGCCGGTGGAGTTTCAGACGCTCTGTGTTTCTTCATCAACGTTCAGATGAATAAAAAGCTGAATGTGCAGAACATCTCTGAGGCTCTGCGATGACTCGTTACGCTCCGGCGACTCGGCTCGTCGCTCACATGAACCCGTTTGAGCAGAGGGGCTTCATTGTATCCGATTTGGCCTCATTACGAGGGCTGTTTGAGGGGGCGAGGGGGGGCAAGCACCCTGCCAAGACATTGTGCTTAAAACCACTAAACACCTCAACCTCCACATTGTCCTGGGCAGCCCTCAATTAGTCCGGTCCCGGTTGACAACAGAGATGTCTTTAAGGCGCCTAACGAAGGAGCCGGTCCACAGAGCGTCTCTGCTCTGTCTCTCCTGAGCCCAAAAGGCTTCGTCTGAGCTGTAAATATAGACCGGGTCCAGTCCAGTCCGGGCCTCCTCAGCTCGTGGGTCTGGGTGCAGGCTCGGGGAAAAGCCTCTTTCTGTGACAGGGAGCATTAGGGAAGAGATGCAGGTCCACTGGGCCTGTGCGGGGGCTTATCTCTGCCTAAGCTGAGGGACTAACAGCAAAGCCTGTCCTCGCTGCAGCCGGTCTGGGCCACAGGGACCATCTGTCCACTCTGGACAACTGAAGACAAAGGAGCAAACACGCAGCTCGGACTGAAACTTTAAAGGACAGAATCGAAGACGAGGAGCGAGCGCTCGGCGGTACAAGGTCAGTGTTTGTCCTGAGCGTGTCCGATGTCTGTGCCGGGTCAGTTCCACGTTAATGTTGAGGGTTCTGAGTCCAACGGACCCTCGTCAGGCTGAGATCATGTGAGCCGGTTCATCTCGTGTTCTGTTCGCACCGTTTCCCTCAGACACTTCGGACTGGAATGAGCGAACGCACAAACAAACGCTGGATTATCGCCTCATGCCCGAACTCTGATGTGAGGGACTATAAATAGTTGCCTGTCCACATGTTCAGGCACAGAACGTTTGGTTCAGACATCGTTCGGACACAAAGAAACATTTTTAAACCCACAACGTTCTAAACTGCTTTGTGTTGACCGAGGGTTTGGAATACGTCGCCACATGAAATCCCTGATAATCCACTTAGACGTTGTTCTACATCTCCCTGCAGGATTAAGGCCCGTCTTGATTTTTCTTTTTGCATTTTATTCTGGAGCGTCTTTGCGTCCGTCAGGAGCGCAGTTCCAACAGTTTCTTTGTTCTGTCGCGTACGTTCTGGGCGCCGTCGTGCTCCGGGGGTTTGGTTCTGTCTTGACTTGCTGGAGGTGACAGAAGTGGGTCAGAGGGGTCTTAGCGTTGACTAAACAAATCCGGGCCTGCAGGATTAGAGGGAGACGTTGCTTTTTGTTTGACGTAACTTCATGAGGAAACGTGGAAATGACAACGTAGAAACGTCCTTCACCTTTAATTGTTGGGATTACAGGTTGGGATTACAGGTTGGGATTACAGGTGCGTCAATAATGAGACTAACCTGTAGAAATTAAGGTTGAATGAACGCAGCTCGGAATGTTAGAAGATAATATGTTGGCATTTTTAAAATATTCTCTATGATCTTTATTATATCTTGTGATTCTTGTGTATGTTCCTTTGTACTGAAACTCTGGCACAATAATTTCCTTCAGGATCAATAAAGTCCAATCTTACCTTATCTTATCTTATCTTATCTTGTTTTATCTTGTCTTATTTTGTTTTATCTGATCTTGTTTCATCTTATCTTGGTTTATCTTATCTTGTCTTATCTTATCTTGTTTTATCTTATCTCGTTTT